TCTTTCCCCACGATTATTCCTATAATTTTGATATAATAAATATATTGGCGATCAAATCTAATTTAGATATATATATTCTCGGATATATTTTTTCGAAATACGAAATTATTCATAGATATTATAGGAATATATTTCTTTCAAATATGATAATATTATGAAGTTAATTTAATTCTCTTCTAAGATATATATCTTTAAAATAATATCAATATTCAAATTCAGATAGAAATTAAGATTTCAAATACGAATATAATATATTTTCATAATTAGGTCATCTCAATAAAATATATATCTTTCTCGAGATTTTAGAATTTCCGGAATTTCTTTCGGCGCCCATACGAAAAGCCGGAGCAATTTAATTATAAGCAATCATATCATTTTATTGAGGTACTAGCTCTCATTTCCATAAGCATGATCACGAGATAGAAGAAATTCAATTATTAAATGAAAATGAAGCACTCATAGATGAATAAAGACCTATAGACCTAAATGAAGTCGCAATACACTATAAAAGATCATTCAATAGAATACGTGGTTATTTCAATATTTTTTGACTTGAGGCCTTAATTAGATTAATAAGAAATATGCATTTCCGAAATCCTATAACGAGAAATCCGATATTCAATTAATATTTTTAAGCTCATCTATGGACGATGAATAAGCTAAATTTTACAATCATTTTATAGATAGATTCTGAAAGATTTTAGGTCTTTTTTCCGAATCTTCCCATTCTTCCAAATCCCGTCCCGCACAAATAAATCCCAAAATAAAGAAAATTAGTTCGAAAATGCGGATTCTCGTATCCAATCTAATTTCATTTATCATATAATCTCTAGGGCTATTCTTGTCGGAGAAGGAGGGGGAGGAAAAAAAAATAAAAATCTTCGTGAAGAGAGACGATCAACTATAAATTCTGAAAAATATTATATATCTATCTTCAATCTATATCTGCCTCCAAATAAATTATCTGCAGTAGTAATCAAAAAGAGATAATTCATATAGAATAGATATTCCAATATATAAATCTCGTCAAGATACTTGTTTTACGAAATTATACGTAATCAAAAATGACCGGCCTCAGAAATGCTATAAAATTTTATATCTCCGCCTCCGAGATTTACGCAAATAAGCGCAGAGAGAAAAAGAGAGAGAGAGAGAGAGAGAGAGAGAGAGAAATAATTCGAAATCTCAAGCGATTTCGGGCTCCGCGACCCTCCCATCTATCCCAGATTTTCTTCCTCCTTTAGCTATCTATGTGGCGATTCGGGAGAGCGCATAGATACGTCCAACCCATAAATTCTCAGAATATATTAGTTCTCTATTTCAGGTCTATGGGTTCTAGTGAGTAGCCGCGCAGATAACTAAAACGAGATAAATCACGTAGACAACCACTCCAAAGACAGGGGTCTGAGATTTTGCTTCGCCGCCCGCACCCAAAATCCCGGAGATTTTAGAGCCTCTAGCTTTTCCGAAGGGCTCTAAAATCTCGAGCTTTCAGAGATCCCTAGGGAGCCCGCAGGAGGCATTTTAAAGTGAGCCGGAAAAGTCAGGCTGCGCGCGAGCGAAATGACCGCAAGTGGCCGCGCCGTAATATAGAGGTATATAAGCAGAGACGCCTGGAGACAAAACCGATAGACAAGGACAGACAACAGATATCAATTTTACAACTATTATCAAACACTGTATTCCTATTATCTTTTTGCTATTAAGATCTGAAGCTTGCAAGATTTAAGGATTCTCAGATGTTGGTTCTCTCCTCGCACCCTCTCGGAATCAATCAATATTCTCAAGAATCATGATGTAGGCCCGAGTGATCTTTGCACCGCCACACTTTGGCAGCATGCAGGCCGATGAGCAAACACTGAAAGAGCGTGTCATCTGTACACATATATGTCAATGCGATGCCTCTGCGCAGTCGCTCTCAGAAGTTTAGTCAGCCTCAGAGCTCATGGGATCTTATGAGGTAGGACCGTAGCCTACCCATGTTGTCCACATGTACTAAGCTTGCAGCTTGTCTTGCATTAGTCCACCTTCGAAGACCTGTGCATCGCGTCCAGCATATCATGCTTTACTCAGAAGATTCTCATTCTTGCGGATGGTTGACTGCTACCACTGGCAGCCACCAATCAAAATAGTTTGGTGCTTGTCTGCTCACCTGAGTGCGTTGCCTGTGGCATGTGCACAGATGCGCGAGACCTTGCCGCATGGCTTCCCAAAGCCTCCACGGGCGCCAATTTTAGTGAGGTTGCTTCTTTCCGTGTCTTTGCCCTTTTGCTCGTGCCTCGAGGGCTTCCTCCAAGGCCTCCAAGCGCAGCGGACCCCCTTTGGAGCCACGCCGGCTTCCCTGCAGCGCGATCCTGCACAAGATATTTGCTGAAAGTAGCTGCCTGGCAACTGCAAGCTGTCTAAGGTTGTGGCAAGTTAGCAACCTCCACCAGAGGGCTCACCTCAACCTCAGCCGCAGCACGGAACTGTTGATAGCATTGCTCACAAGGTAGGGAACAGGAGAGTATCCTTTCTACCTCCTGGGTCCCACACAAATTGAACGGCCCCAAGCCGGAATCGATTCTCACACTCCATGCTGCGATCGCGGTGCCACCTCATCATTGCCATAAACTTCAAGGAGCAGCCGCTTGTCTAACCGTTGCCAGTTTTACAAAGCCAAGGCGTGAACTCAAAGTACTGGCGTGAGGGCCCGCTGCCCCATGCCTTCTTGATTGCCTGTTGACATACAAATCGCTGAAAGGCGTGAAGAGATTTCCTCTCCAAAAAGAGCAATGAGTAAGGGGTTATGTAGGGAGCGTCTAGGGATATCTAGAGTCCGTCCCTCAAGGCAGCCCTTTTCTCAGGCAACCCAGTATCGGAAGAATGGGCTATTGCCAAGAGCTTGCAGACCGGGAGCCCCAAATCGTTGAACCAAAACCGAAACCCGAATGAACGGAGTCACTCGCCTGAAAATAGCCACGTCCTGCGCAAGAAATGGCATTGACAACAATAATTTCCGTACTCTACATTCAATATGCGAAGCAAGAGTTGGATCTTCGCTGCTCCGACTCTTGGAATTGTGTGTGACGCACGCTACTCTGTGCTGTCCTCCATTGCCTTGATCGTTGCACAGGTGTGCTACAACTTTCCGACCACTGCTCTGCGAAGCCTGCGGAATGCGCAAGTTCTTCCTCCAAACTGCGAGTTCTGGTGGGTCCCATTCGGTTCGATCTCTGTCACTATGTCTCATGTCAGCTTTTGCCTTTGCAGCCTCGCCAGTGGTGAACACAAGCCGCCCCTTGGTCGAGGCCTTGGCTTTCATGGTGCTCAGAATTACAGCCGTGCTTCACTTATCTAGCTGTTGAGGTAGTTGACTCAATTTGCTTCAGAGCCGCCCAGCCAATTCTTTTTAGACAATGCTGAGGCAACTGCGTCGGCGCCAATCTCTCTGTCCTGAAAAGACTGAACCCGCGCCGTCATCCTGTCATCACCTCATCCATAGCAACTACAATGTTGTGAATGGTTCCCTTCACCGGCTGAGAATGGCTGCGTCCGTCACTGTCTCTATTGATTCTGTGCGTTTATATCAGAATCTAACACTGTTGTGTTAACTTCTGTGCGCGCGGGCATTGCTAAACATGCCTTCACGGATACAGCATTTCATGGCATGTCCCGCAGCCTCCAACTGGGCTCTCGGTCTCGCTTTGTACGCCCGCTGGCCCAGGCAAACCGACGTCAGCATGCGATGTGTCTTCATCCAGTGCATGCCGCAGGCACTCCAGCACTTTGCAGGACACGAGTCCAGAAGAAGCGACCAGTTCCAATTCGTGCCGCTCCAGCAGCTGTAACAGTTGCATCTCTTGCTGCACAAAGGAGACTGGTTGTGCCGACGCGATGACCTTGCTGCCTCCACGTTCTTCGTAGATGCGGCGACGGGCTTCCCGAATCTTGGCCTGCAGTTCGGTCCCTGGAGGATCCTCGGACGGCGCGTTGACTGCCTGGCCGACATAAACCACATCTGCCTGGCACACCGCATCCTCGAAATGAGTCACGAGACACCACGGTTTGAAATTCCAGCGTAGTCCTCCGCTCCAAGACAGCTTTGCTGTTAGCTGATGGACGATCCGCTCGATCGTCCTCGGACAATCCCAACCCCATGAGCACGTCTCTACCAAGTCGGACTCTTCGCATGCTCGCTGGCAAAGTGAAACGCGAAGGCCGAATGAGAGCTCGAGATTTTCTTGCGCATCGGGAACCAAAAAGGCTGCCACAACTGGCAGCTGGGCTTCGCGCTCCACCAGCTGCGCTGCCCTCCTTGGCTCAGTCTAGCTTGGCTCCTAGTGCACTGCAGAGAACATTATATTGCGGTCCGGAGCTGCGTCTGTCTCTCTCCACAGGCAAGAGTCTGAATGAGCTCCATGTGAGCTCGTTGTACCGGGTTGCAGTGAGAACACCATACCAGCACGGCCACTTCGTTCGTTTTGTTGGCGTCAATGTGATCTCCACCTGAAGTTCTTCTCAAGGGTGCTGATGTGGATAAAACTACAGGTGACTAACTACTCGCTGAAGCCCACTTGCTCGCTTGGATGTCTAGTTTTGTTCAATTCGTGCCTGCAATTTGTGATAGCCGCGTTTCAGCTTTCGAGAGTGCTAGGTCAGCCAGTTTCGCCTGGAGGCAGGTAAGCAAAGGATACTGAAGTTTCATTCTAGGTCGGCTAGTTTACATGAAGCGATACAACTCGGTCAGCCTTCTGCCGCATAGCGTTCCCAACGCGGAATGGCAATGGTGGTGACCACTGTTTGGTCAAATGCTGAAAGAACACATGTATTCAAAGTCTGTTCTGGCATCGCATTGTTATAAGGCATCTGCCGGCTTGAGCTGATCAATGGCTATGGACACGCAGCTGCCCCGGTTGCACAATCATCTTTCCTTGCCGGAGGCCTCCTTTCAGCCCAACACATGCAGCTATACCACATCAAGAGCATCCAAGAGTCACAGCCATTTTGTTCCAGCAAAAAACCATTCAGAACTTCGGGCCAAGCTCAGGTGATTCACACGCAGGCTTACGCAGGCCTGTGGCTCTGCCAGGGTATTTGCTACGTACTCTGCGCGCGACTGCAAGCGAGTCTGTATTAGGTGATCCCGGCGGGGAAGCTGGCAGTGAGCCGCAATGCCCACTTTCACAGTCTCAAGCAATCTGGACCTACCTTCGACTGGTCAGCAACTGTACGTAAGATTATGTAAGATTTACGCTGGTCTCCTTCCATGCTTCTCCATGTTAGACTAGCAGCGAACAGAAGATAACAATCGCTGTGCAAGGTCATTGAGTCTTGCGCGTGCCTAAATGCCAGGAGAAACTTCACGTATCTGCAGGCTACAATCTGGCAGCTCACTTACCACCATGTCTTCGATTTGATGTCGGCCTCGCTGTCTTGATCATGAAAAGAGGCCGGGGCTGTCTTTCACTCTGACTTCTCATTACATCAGATATGCACAGGCGGGGCAAGATCGACAGAACATACAGAACCTCGACGTCACACTCGCATGACTTGTAGACAAAGATGTACCTGACGGATCGGTTGCATTTGCCGCGAACAAGCGGCAAAGAAAGAACTCCAAATCCCTCCTTCCTAGAGGGCGCATCAGAAGGGAGGGAACCATTGCAGGCCAAGCCCATGACGAGACTCGCCAGTACCTGAAGGTTGGAGCGAGATCGGTTGAAGTCACCTCACTGGACACATGTTCTGCGATCCACCGCCTTCCTTCTGGCCAAGATATGGATCTTTCTCAAAGCTCCCATGCTACATGATTCAGCCAAATTGTAATGCTTTGGCAAGCAGGCGATGCCGTGCTCTCATTCGCAAGGAGGGGCGTGCCAGCGCGCGGGGGCGTTCCAGAACCACCTGACAGAATCATGGTGGCAAGCGCAAGTGCCAGAATGGTGTGAAAGCTATCAAGTCCGAGTGGTAGTCGCAAATGTTTAAGCAGTTTCTGGATCTCACCCTCAATGAAAAGTTGCTTCTGAGTTGTTCTGAGTCTTGCCGCCCTCTTTCTGATCCGAGTCGTCTGAGGAAGCTGCTGCCACATGATCTTCTGCTGCAAGTGCGAGAAGGTCTGCTTGATCTCGCCACCTGGCACCTGCAATTTGTTGTTGCTCAGGCTGGACGCAACCAGTCCCCCAAAGCTTAGGCCTGCGAGCGGTTTGCCCACCAAATGTGTGCTTCCGGAGGCACTGGGTAGGAACCTGCCAGCAATGAATTTACTCCACGGCTGGTATCCCTGCCTTCTGCGAGTAGCAGTTCAAACAGTTCCAAATCTTTGCTTAAAGCCGGTGGTTGCTGGACATTTGGAAAAATTACCTACACAAAAGCTGCATCACCTGATACAATGCTAGTTTCCCAAAATAAGGGGACCCCAATATAGACCCCAAAATGCGATTTTCCATATTATTGGGACCCCCAAAATGGTACTCCTAATTTTGGGAAACCCCCACAATCTACTCAGGCATTGGCCCAATCGGAGCTGATCACGGGCACTGGTCTTCCTGCCCCCCCGGCCCCGATCCAACGACAGGGCTACACAAGTGAACTGACCTTACATTGGGATAATGGAAAAGAAAATGGAAACTATAGGGATTATAGGGATTATATAAGGGTTATGATATAGTGATTATAGGGTATATATTGGGGTGATATTGGGATAGTGGAAAAGAAAATGGAAGCTGCTATAGTTAGCTGGGAATGAAGAAATTGATCCTTATAGTAGTCCCTACATGACCCATTGTAGTAGCTTCCATTTTTTCCATTCCTTCTAAGCCCTAAACCCTAAATAACCCATTCTAGTAGTTTGCATGTTCTTTCCCATTCTTCCTGAACCCTAAAACCCTAAACAACCCATTCTAGTAGTTTCTATTCTCTTTTCCATTCCTCCATTCCCAGCTAACCAAAGGCCAGTGAAAGGCCACAGCGGGCCTCAGCGGCAAAGTGGCCTCGCTGACCCGAGCAATGGCTCGCCGCAGGCTCATCGTGCAGAGCCTGGGATCAAAGATCAGGGCGTGCTGCATCCTGTAATAATAGTAATGATGATAATACCGATAGTACTAATGATATGAATAACACTAGTAATAATAGTACTAATAATAGTAATCATAATCTGTTCTGATCCTGATTGCGACACTAACATCGCTCGGGCCTTGCTAGATCGGAGATGCTGCTTTTTTGAGCGGTCTGACTGTGCGCTCTGAGCCATAAGAAAGCCGAGGCGGGACCAATGGCAAATGTCAAGTCAAGTCGCTCTCTGCCAGCCTATGCCGTAGCACTTGCGCGGATTTGAGGCTTCGCTCTGAAATGCTCTGATGCTCGCGTTCCTAGCTACACCGAAGAGTAGGCGAGTGGTGCTAGACCTAAGAAGGGTTCACGCTCGTCCTTTCTGAGCAGAGCCCTTTCGGAAGATTACGGGAACGTCGGCGAACAAATCAGCTCTCTGAAGAGTAAGTTTGCACTGGTCTCGCGCTCGTAATCTTCCTGACTGTGTGTACATGTTGGAAGATCCAACGAGCATCCTATGAGCAACTGTGAGCACCTTGGCGCGGGCTCAGTGTAGCCCACTGGGGCCAAGCCAGCTAAAAGACCGGCCACCAAAGCCCCCATGGGCTTTTGGAGCCACTTATGGCCGCAGCTTGAGGCCATACGCTCAGCCGCGTGACACAGCTCGATGTGAGGGCTGTGTCTCTGACCTGGGATCCAGAGCCAGTTCCAACTCTGGGCAAAGGAGGGTGCATCACCACATGATTCTGTCTACAATCTGCATGTCGGCAACATGGCGCAAGGCTAGCCTGCATCAAACCCCTGTCACACTTCTCCACCACATGTTGCAACATGCTGCGCTGCGGGATGCTAAGTACCCAAACAGACCTGAAAGTATGCTGAAGTGAAACGTCTTTTTGCCCTCATCGGCGGTCGCTAACAAAGAGTATAGACAAAGTCTATCTCCACATAGCTGTTTCAGCAGAACTTGGCTTTCTACATCTCTCTATCAAGAGTGCCCCACTCTCCTTAGCCTGAGGCCACTCTCAGTCTGTATTGCACGTTAGCCAAATCAAGTTCGTGCTCATATGGTTCTGCCACAGCGCATTGCAAACATAGCTACTTCACCCAGAGCCTACCAAGGTCCTCAGGCTTCAAAGGTTTTGGGCTTAGGGGAGTGGGGCATGGCTTCCCTGTCTACAAAATGAAACACGCTGCAGCTCTCCCATTTCCACAGCCACACATCGCAAAGATCCACCCTGCAAAGTTCGTTGCCCCGGAACTGCAGAACTGCTTAGCTCCACAACGACGCGGCTGGACATAGGCAGCTGAATTCGTCAGCTCCGACGCTCGAGGGCCGGAATGCTGACTGCAGGCCTGAAGTCCGAAGCTCTCTTCTTGTCAGGCATGCTCTCAATACTAATACTGGTGATGATATTCCACTTCAGCCACCAATAGTTGGTGCATCCATTGTTGAGCTTCTCCCGCAAAATGCACGAGTTATCCTGTTCTTGTATGCAGTAAAGTTCTCCCTTAAGTTCTTCGCCCGCATTTGTTGTCAATTTCAACTCCGCACCCAAGAAGTGGTCGGAGCCCTTCGAGCGGATGTAGTTCTCCATCTGCTCGTGGCTCGCTTGCTTTACTGTCACATGTATGGTGCACTCACCTAGCGTGTTCAATTCTTTTTTGGCATCCTGGAGGGCTGGGCCATCTTTTGAAAGTGAGAGACCGATGAGATCTTCGGGCACATGGAACTCCTCGGCCAAGTTCGCTGTCAAGGTTGCGATGGTGTCGGTCTGACTCGGTTGGGTACGGATGACCTCGTTCCGATTCGAACACACCAGCTTTGGCAACGGAGGTTGATTCCGCATATGGGGGGGTCGGTATGGCGCCATGGCTCAGAGAGAGCTCAGATCCCGTAAGACCTAAGACCCTGGCCTGGCTTGGGCACAAGCTCACTCAAGCAAATCTTCTTCAAGCTGCTTTCATGCTTTCGGGATGGCTGCTGAAGTGCCAGTGGCATAGCATGCACAGCAAGAAATGTTCAGGCTTGCGACAGTTGTGTGCAGGAACAACATGCGGAATGAACCTCGGCACGTTTTGAACTGACTGTCATTCATTTGTCTAGCAAACGCTGCGCCTGGAGCTTCAGGAAAACTGACCGGTGAGCAGCGAAGTCCAGGAGCCCCATAAGCGGACGTCCTTCCACTTAGTCACGAGTCGGTCAAACATGCGCGTTACAACGTCTGCGCTTGCGACAAGCCGGCTCTATGTGTGAGCGGTTCCTGAAGGCATGTACTTTGCAACAGTGGTAACTCAGATTACGAGAGTTGTCAACTTCAGCAACAAGGATTGTGCGATGTCGCCAGCTTTTATAAGAATAGATTATCCCCGATCCCAGGCCGTGCTCATAGCTCCTGGTCATCCTGGTCTCCATCAGCAGCGACCCTAGCTCCCACGCGAAAGTTCAGCCTCATGCCGCTTGTGTGTGATCCTCACTGTAACTCTTACTCCAGTTCTAGTCAATGCCACAAACATTCTGGGCGCTGAGCTCGCACCTGGGCCAAAACATCTACTCAACTCAGACAGCTTGCGGTAGAACAGCCAGCGAGTTGCTACTGCTGCATTCTACGAGATGAAACGTAATGATTTCAGGCTGCAGACCCTTGCGGAAGGCCACTGACCAATACCTGCCAAACTTCGTTTGCAGGCTTCAAGACAGCACACCATCGAAGCGAATATCTGACAGCATGAACCCATGGCCTTGTTGTTTGCCGAGATCTTGTGCCCCTTTTTGGGGTTTGGCACGCCCTGGCCCATCCACAGCCAGACTTGTCCGTACGGCCAAACAAAACAAAGAAGCATACGAAACGGCTATCCAGGCGGAGCTTTTCCGGCAGGTGTCGGGAGCAGACACGCAGGCAAATTTCAATGGCCTCAGGCGTGCGCCACTCGACATTGTAGGCGACCCTCTTCTCCTGCGAGCATTCACCAAAGGCCGCTTCCTATGTCCAAATTCACTTCCCCCGCCTTTCGCAGCCCTAACCATGAGAGCTCCAAGGCTCCCTCAAACTCGCCTGTGACGTTCAGCTCCGCCCACTGAGCCGACAGGCGCGTGCCAATGAAGACCTTACAACACTGCCCCTAGCTGCCTAGCTTGCCTACTCTCTGCTGGTTGAAACACACGCATCACGCTGCAGGCGGGGCAGAATTCCGGACAGGTATGATAACACCGAAATTTATCCAGACGATCAGCAGGAGATGAAACTTTCGAATTTGCAAGGTCTCTTTTTTGGAGGGACGAAATGCCTAGAATTGCCTAGACCTACCGCAAGCCAGGGGGCAAAGTAGCCTTCAAGGAGCGCCAACATGCAAAACATGTCGCGGCTGTGGTTCAGTGTTTCTCGAGAAGCGGACCCAAGCATCTAAGACCAATAGCCCTGTAAATGTTCATATGCACATACATTTCATATGCATGTAAAGTCAACAGCGACTCTCCAAGCGCACAGTTCTCACCGAGCACAAAGCGGGTCGCTCTACCCGCAATTGCTGGAGCTCCTCCGGATTCCCTTTCGTCACTGTCTTTCCAGCAGCCCGACTACACAACAGTCTTTGTCGACCTTGCTGTAGATTTTGGTTCAAAGCAATTCTCACGCTAATTTGGAATCAGCCGCTTGATTTTCCTTACAGGTGTTGGAAGAGGCCTTGCCATTTTGGGTGGAGGCTACGGCACTCCAACGTTCAGGGCACATAGTCGCTTGGGGCACATACATTGGGAAACGTCAATGTTGTTTCGCCCCAAGCAAGCGCATGCAAGCGCTTCACAAGAAACAGGTCTTGCGCTTCCCGGCGTTCGCTTAGCCATTGGGCACGTATTTCAGCATTCAGTTCTCGAGACACTGCTGAATTCGACAGAATACGAAAATGAACCTATTGGTTAAGTGTGAGTTTTTAGATGTTTGACGTCTGGTGCGGGACAGCTCCCACAGTCCTAGCACCTGGATTTAGGGCATCGGGTAACATCCAAGTGCTCTTGTATCGGCACTTCCAAGCACAAATACTTTCTTGGTGCACTTGGGTCCTCAATGTTGTACTCAAATGTCCAAGGCTTTTTGGAATCAGCGGATGAGCACGCGATCTGCTTTCAGCGGCCTGCACGATGGAAGGGTTCCAACAGCTATGCTCATATCTCAAAATGACGCCACAGCGGCCCCAATGCATGTAGAACCTCGCACCATTAACCCCCCGTGTGCAGTGGTCCTTGGCAGAAACTCATGAAGCTCCCTATGGCTGTCCAATCTGCAAGGTCCAATCTCTAATTGTTGATTCCCAGAAAGGGACCTTAGTTGCTAGCAGCTTGTATGCAATTTAATTTGAATGTTTCCTACACCAAGAAAGCTTTAACAGCCATTTTGCTTGTTTGAGATGCTGGCTTCCACACAAATGCAATCTGTGCTTCTGGCCCAGCACCCATACAGCTTGCGGTCAACGTCAGCTGCTTCATCTAGCTGCAGCCAACCTGACATGTTCACTGGGTGTTGATGCAAATCAGCTACAGTCTAAACTCCCAGTATCCCCCTTAATAACCCTATAATACTCCCTTACATAATCCGCCCTTTAAGGCATATTCTCTGAGCTTTATGGCCGCGATGCATGTAGAAAAGGTAAGCTTGACTAAAACGCCTAGAGACCAAACCCTAAAACCCTAGAACGCTAAACCCCTATGCTGGAAAGGCCTGAGCTCTGCAAGGCTCTGAGTAGCTGTTTTGCATTCTCACAGGCTCCAGGTTGCGTGACAAAGATTTACTCAAGGTGAATTTCAAGATGTTTGGGACCACCACAGGCTATGGGTAAGATTCTGTAGTCCACCTCAAGATGAGTAGGCGCAAGGAATCTTTAGCAAAAAGTATCGATCAACAATTTCTAAAGCTGATGCCAATTCGTGGTAAAGCCCCATACATTGGTTACAGAATTTCTCAGTTGGGGACCTTGACTTCATGTGGCCAAACGCGCTGACACGAACTCGATTGGCGTTGCTTAGGGGTTCTGTTCAGTCGGACATTTCGGGGTTGCAAATACTGGAGATCTGAGTCACAAGCAGCCGTGCTATCGCATAACATCGTTGACAAGGTCAGCTTTTGCTTGTGTCTTTTCCTACTTCTACTTGTCAGCCTCCAGTACCCAACTTGGCCGAACAGAAACACACCACTGGCGTTGCTGTCGATTCCTACATCAAAACAGGCAGGCTTCGCCTCCACCAGGATAGCCGAAGACCACGCGGCCTTCCCAATTCAGTGCAGTGGTAGCATGCGGTCTTGAGGGTGAAGCCTTATTTGCTTTTAGGGTGGCCTTTGCATAATTTAGGCACATTCTGATAATCAACGACGGTCACTCAAACTGTTGATCCCGGCGCTCTGCCAGGAGGTGTACGGTTTGCAGCTTTTTGCAACAGGCTTCTTGGGCGACCCTTTCGAATCTTGCCGTAGCAAAACTTTGTGCTCTTGCTCTGTTGGTATGTTGTCAAAATTGTGGGCTCCTCCGGTAGCCAGTGTACATCGGCGGTTATTCTGATGGGCACCCAGAAGGGGACTGGCAACTACCAAGCAGCAGCTGATTCTGCTTGCAGAATAAAGGGTGCCCGCACCCTGTCCTGCAATGTCCTGCAATATTTCATCAGGCTTCTGCCACCTAATGAAAAAACAAACATAGATAATCACAGGCAAGCGTGCTGACGACGTCTACTGTATCACATGCTGATGCATTTCTCAGTTTCCCTGTTGGCTGGCGCCCAGCCTCTCTCGAGTTTGCCAACTTCCGGTGACTGCACCAACGGCTCCTTTCGCACTGGAGCGGCGTGGTCCTGCGCAAGGACCTTGTACTCCAATGGTCCAGAAAGCACATCTCGTGCCTGCTGAGCGGCTTTTCTGCGTGATTCGACTTTGGCTGGGTCGGATATGGCTGTAGTCGCAGGTTCGGGCTTGTCATCATGTTTGATGTCCCTCTTCGTGTCCTGCTTCGGAGCTAGAGTCTTGTGGCTGCTTTCGGTTGCATTGACTGCAGCAGCAGGGGCACTTTCAGTTGTCTGCTCTGGTCGGGCCGCCTCAGGTGGGGGAACTTCCTCTGGCTGTGAAGCTGGCTCAGTGACCGGCGCCTGCTTGGCATGAAAGGTCTCCAGGGCTTTGCGGCCATCATTATCCAGTGGTCTGAGAAGTTGTCCGAGACCCAAAGGCTCGCCGTCTATCAACGCCCAGGCCTCCTCACCAATTTCTGCAACTTTTTTCCGGGAACTCTCTTCAAAGCGGAGCCAAGCAAAGGCACCAACCTTGTGAGGTGTTCCCATGAGTATGCGGCCTTGCAGCACAACTCCCTCTATCTTGCCCTTGAGGGAAGGAGAGGCCCTGACAGCAACCTTGGTGTGTGCGACCTCGTAGCGGCCTGCGTAGCCCAAGGCCTCCGGTGGACGCAGCGCAGCAGGCTCCAAAAGGTCACCCAGCTCAAAGTTGTCATCCTTGACTAGCGCCCAAGCCGTATCAGCAAGAGCTCCCAACGCATGGCAACTTTGAGGAGAGATGTGGAGCCACCGATGGCCGTCAATCTCCTCCAAGGCTCCCAAAAGCTGCGCCCCTGCGTTTGCTGCGCCTACAAGCTTGGACTCTCGTGAAGGTTGCTCCCGCAATGCCACCTGGTGAGCCACATCGAAGCATTGCAGACCCTCCTGAGGCCAATCTTTGACTGGACAACTAGTGTTGGCATCCTCATCAGGCTTGCTCACGTTTTCATCTTGTGCATCAGCAGCAGATGAGCTGACAGCCGGCTGTGTGTCATGGACAGCCGGACTGCTTTGAGATTCAGCTTGTGCCACTGATTTTGTCTCCTCAGCTTCTCTTCGCAGTGCAGCAGCTTTCCGCCGTGCTTCCTCTGCAAGCCTTTCAAGCATGTCGTCGCTCCTGTCAGCTTCAGGTGCTCTTTGGCCCTGCTCTTGTTCGCTCTCTTCTGGTTGTAGATCATGCATCTTCTGCTCTTGAGCTGGAACTTCCTCCTGTGTGCTTGCTTCCTGCTCCTCTGGTTGCTTTGTGACCTCGCTGTCCACCTGCTTACTCTCCTCTTGCGCCGCATGTCCGGAGACTCCGTCCGCCGTCTCCTTAGCAGCTTTCTCTGCTCGTCTCCTAGCGTCTTCTTCTTCTCTCTGTCTAGATTCCTCCTCTTCTCTCTGCTTTGCTTCCTCCTCTGATTTCTGTGTTGCTTCCTCCTCCGCTTTTCGTCTGGCTTCCTCCTGCAACTTTTCTCGCGCTTCCTCTTCCGCTGCTTTTCTCGCCTCCTCCTCAGCTTTTTTTCTCGCTTCCTCCTCTGCTTTCAGTCTAGCTTCTTCCTCCCGCTTCCGAGCTTCCTCTGCTCTTTTCGCCGCGTCGGCTTGCCGCCTTGCCTCATCCACCTTGCGCCTCTCCTCTGCTTTGCGGGCTTCTTCGGCTTTCCTTTTGGCCTCCTCCTCCTCCCTGCGCTTTTCCTCTGCTCTTCGTGCGGCTTCAGCCTGCACAAGTGTCTGACGTGTCACCCTGGCCCAGATGACTGATTCTGCTACCAGTACTGGCCTCTGCCTTCCTAGCTGCCAGCTCCTGATAAGAGGCAAAGAGAGATGTTCAGAAAATCACTTGCCTTCCTGTTCTTCCGCCTCAGCTGTTGGAACGCCAAAGTACCCTCCAGCGGGAGCACCGCAAAGGCGCTCTACCTAAAGGCAACACAGGGAAGCAAAAAGCAGCTAATTAGCAGAGTCAGTATCAAAGCTCGGGAAGGACGGAAAGGGAAACCAGCCTCGTGGCTGCATGACCGGACATACTCGTTATCTGCAAACTCCCTGCCATGGCTGCCACTGTCATATGATGTGACACATGGGATGGGGAGACAACATGATGAAGCACCAAAATTACACAAACTGTTTCTGCATTGTTTGTGCCTGATGCCAGCCTTCATGGCATCGTATCCTGCCTACAATTCAAGCAAATGGCCAAGTGAAGGCTGGCTGCACCCTTGGCCTCTGTCGTTGGAAAGTCAAACCTCTTCATGATCGGGTTCCACTCCTGACAGCGGCGCGAGCTGTAGTCACAAGCCACAAGAACAGCTGCCATCACCCCAGCAGTGTTTTGATTCGTGGGCTGATCCAGGCTCCTGCGTGATCAGCACGCGTCGATGCTGTTCCATGTGGACTCCACCTCGAGTCTCGATGTTCTGCATTGTCCTGCACTGAAACTACATGAGTGCTGCTGAGAAAACGTTGCTTCCAGAAGATATCTGGCGGCTCCTAACGACCGCCGGTGTCAGCAGCGATTCCCTGAATGCCTGCAACAACAAACAAAACCAATGGCAATGGCCAATCTTAAAATTCAGGCGCAGCTTTGGTTAGAGTCAGAAAGGGCCTGCAAGCTTTATAAGTCGGCATGCACTGATCGATCAGGCTGCCATGCTAGATCCCGCAAGTAAGATTCTGTGACTGGAATCTCGAGGCAATCTTCCCTCGCAAAGATGTGATGTATCAGGCCTTCAGGATCTCCTTTGCCTCGCCCAGGAACATGGGCCTTCCTCGCACTTGTCGAGGTAAAGCATCCTGCAAATATTCTACTTCTGCGTGCGGAACCGAAAGTTCTGACACTACCAGCCACCATAGGCAGTATACTGGATGATGCAGAATGAGCTTACTAAAAGCTAGCGCAACTTCAAAGCCTTCGTCACAGACGGAGGGGGCACCGGCTTCTCCAGAGTCTTTCTGCTGGTCTGGATCTGACGGAAGCAGCTGATTGTTTACTCAAACATACTCAAACCCTGCTCTCGCCCTCCTTACCTCCCCTCCTTGCTTACGTTTGGCGCACGTCTTGAAAGGCTGTCAGGCATGCTTCGAAAGGATTCTTCATCGTTGGCAGGCCTCCTCTTCTTTCCAACTTTTGCCTTCGCCATTGGCATTGGCCTCGCTTTTAATTAAACATCCTTTTGTTCCGGCTTTTCTCAGGCTGAACACGAGTGACTTGTCCGGATTCCAAGGCCTAGAAAACATGAGGATGCTGAGCATCGGGCAGTAAGTCTGAACAATGCTCCAGGCACCATCCGAAGTTGTCGCTCCACCTATGATCGAGCTGCTCGGAGCCCTTCTACTTTCTAAGGGAAAGAGTGAAGATGAGGGATGGAGGAACCTTCTGATGATAATGGCAATGCTTCATTTCGCCCTGGCCTCGTGCGAAACGAGTCGGATACCCGGTTGATGGCCATGCTCCTGCCGAGAAACCGTCTACACAACAGGAAAGGGAAACCTGAACTCTGAAGCTGCTCCAAACAACCAGGCTCGATACATTGACCAACAACTTTTGGTTTCACCGCCTGGCATGTCGCATCCAAGGCTTGTCCTTGGATTATGACGCCAGGGCAGTCCTTCGGTCTTGACAAAGCAGCCTATCGCTTCATAACACCACGTGCTTTCGCACAACGTCGTGTTGTTGAAGTCTGTGACAAAGGCTTACCTGCTGAGCTAAGTTGGGGAGCTAACATGCCCTTTGTAAGCATGTGCCCAAATGCCACACTTTGGACATTCTGCGGATATCAAAGGATCCGGTGAATTTCAGGTCTGCGTCCCAAGCAAACAGCTTGGGCTCTGTCCGCGCTGCACCTTGCACAAGGGTATGAGCTGACTTTCAAGAAGATGATCTGCTGCCCTTGCCGTCGTTGGGACTGACAGCACCTACTGAGTATGACAAGTGCCGTGCAAGCCTAACTTTTCTGCGACTTCCTCAACAAAACCATTGCCCCACACAATGTAGCAGCTATTCCTTTTGGAAGGAGAGTGTCCTGAAATGGCTTCTTGTTTTTTTTGCTTGTGTCGTCTCACTTTATGAAGAAGGGGGCTGCCACCCCTACAAGCATGTCTGCTACGAATGCAACTAGTTCTCGCAAGACAGCAGCAGCAAACGAACACCGGCCCCATTTGTCAAGTTCCAAGCTGTGCGGCTAGCAGCTAGCACTGCATGCAATCGGCGAATGCCGCGTGTCACAGCTCGTTCGGAGCCGCACGCTCGAGAGGGGAGTGCTTTGTCTTGTCAATACATATAACCATCGGGTCATTCCGCCATGCAACTGCACGCTGCCTGGTTTCCACCTTACATGGTGTTTCTCCGAGTAATCCGTGTTACAGCACATCCAGACACCCTCAACGGATTTGCACCTGTTTCTGCTGCGCGAGTGTGTTTGCAGACTTGCGGCGGCGGATGTTCTGCCACCAGGTGCCTGGAAGAGTAGATATCAATGAAATACGAGATCTGGTTCACACAGGCAGGCAAAGTAGGCCTGCTATGCAGGATCTCTAGCAAGAATCGGCAGGACCTCACGTGGCCATACCTGCAAAGAGGACAGCTCTGGGAAACCAAAGCTATACATCTGGAACGCACCTCGTGATCACAGTGACAGACTCTCGCCCAGCCTGGCAGACAGCATGCTACCGGCAATTTGGATGACACAGCTGGCTTGGCTGTGGTCCAAGGAGGAGGCGTCGCACAAAAGCCGACCTGATGGCCAGCAGCACAGATGCTGCGAGCACAAGGGGCCTTGGGAGTCCAGAGTCCAGACCAACCCACAAAGGGCTCGGGGTTTCCTCTGTGACACGTCGTATGCTCAGTCGCATGCGTACCCAGGACCAGCGCAAGCCTGCGAATCCAGCAAGCTGCAACGGACGATGTGCTCATAACGTACAAAGTATTGCATGCAGCGGTTGGCGTACACATGCTCATCATTTCAGCTTCTGCCGAGCTCTACTGCTGCATCAGCATGGCCTTACATCTGACCAAAGATGACCTGACTCCTGGCGGAGACATGCAGAAACTACCAGGACAAGTTCATAGCCCTCTAACCATCAAACCTTACTTCCGCTCCTGGGCATCTTCCAAAGCAAACTTTTTCTGCGTGCTTGGGTCGCCGAAGCTGACGGGAGCGTCGCGCCTGAAGCGCCGTGCCCAAACCAAAGCTGTGGACAAGGGTTTAGGGATACTATGGTACCCAATAATGGAGAATCAAATGGAAAAAAAATGGAAAATGAAATGGAAGCTGGGATTATATAGGGGTTATATTATATTCATTGTTACGTCTAAGCTGCCTTTTGCCATGATTCAATCACGAGGCTCTCATGAACTGCTAAGTCATTTGCTCCATCACGTCCTCGGACAAATCCTCCTTGATGTGCGGCTTCGGCAGCAGGTGAACATCTGGTAAACTCATTGGCTGGACCTCTCCATTCCTAAGCGAGAAGTCAAATCAGAAGACCCGGTAAGGACAAGCAGAGTCGATCCAGGATCTAAAGTATACAAACTGTCACAAACGCTTGGAGACATTGTTCTACTTGAGCACAGCTTCAGTATTCCGCATGTCAGAATGGTGCGACTGAAAATGCCAAGCTACGTATAGAGCTCCACATCTGCATGAGGAAGTGCTGCCAAATAACAGCGTGCCCACTGGCAGTGTGCTGGCCTGGAAAATCGCACAGAAAGGAAAAGAAAGGTTACCAGGTATTATGCAGCTCTTGATCTACGACCCGGTTTCCTTATTCCTGAAAGGCGTGAGAAATTATGGCAAGGTTGCTGCAAGGCAAGTGCGCCACATTGAGGTCAGCTGTGGTACAATTGTAAAAGTCATCGTGCTGGTATCGGCGGCAAGCAGAGTTCTGCCGTCCATGAGATACTATTGCGGGTGAAAGCAGCACGTCTGCGTAAGTCAATGTTAAGGCAAGATGCTGGTGGCAAATCCTCGTTCCTTCAGGCAGCACTTGGCAAACCTGCGTTCAGCTTTGAAGGATGAGTCATTCGCCGCAGCCCTGCTTGAGCAAAAAAACGTCCCACATCCCCCTGATATGAAAGCCCTGCAACCCCTAATATTGAATATTCCCCATTGTGATATATTAGAGTATATTGGAGTATTTGATATTAGGGTGGATGGGAGGTTTAATATTAGGGGGAGGGGGTTAGGCCAGCCAAACGTGCTCCGTAAAGGCCAGGCCCGCCTGGTGCTGGAAGAGCGTGCTGTTCCCGCTGATGGCCACAGTAATTGCCTACGCGGGCCAGGCGTATAGGCTCAGAGCACTTGAAACAAGCTTGCCAGCCTTTCTGATGTCTGTGAAAGCTGAGACTTCAATTGCAGCATAGGCCTGTACAGAAACAAAACATGACAACACCTGATGTCTCACACTTTTCAACCTGCACCACATGTGTGGTCGCTCCGCATGGGAGGCAGCGCCATGTCGTTAAAGGTGCCAGCGCTGACTCGAACATCTACTCTACTGTCTTGTAGCAAGGCTTAAGATGCTTCAAAGGTCTGCCAGGCAGACCGGCTCGGAGGCGATGATGTAGACACCAAGGCCCATAGCGAAATGATTCTTCACATGCCTGGGCATCAGCTACTCGTGTCCTTGAGATCATTTTGTCTGATCGTGCGACCCAAAAGCCAGTATCCTCTGCAACACCCCAGGACCCTTCTTGGAGAGCACGCTCCAATCTCCCATTGTTAGCGGCAGAAAACAGAAGCAGAATCTAAAGCAGAAACCAAGGCCAGGGCGGAGATACGACATAAGCAGCGTATCTTTTCCTTTGCCCACAGGCTTTGATCAGTCTGCATATCTGCTCTCTGGTAACGAACTGAGAGACTGGCTCCAGATTGAGCCGCGAATGATATGGAAGCTCAGCTTGGAAAAAGTACAGCCTGAACACGCTCCAAACGCAGTGCAATCAGCATCACTATTATCACTCTCATGCTGAATCAGGAGTCTCTGGCACTGCCACAGCTTACAAGACTCTCACGCCACTTCGACTCGGGATGCCGCTGTCCGTCCTCGCCATTCCATACAAGCAAATGGCCGTCCTTATCTCGAAGGCGCGGTTTTTGCAGATGGTCCCTCAGGTATGGCAGAAGAAGCTTAGGACAAAACCACGACGTGCTCCACTGCAATCCCAAAGGCCACAACGTTACGCCTGCCAATTCCACGACTAGTGCCATCTAAAGTTTGCACTCAAATATTGATTCCAGACTGAGGGCCACACCCGTTTACAACAACACCATGCTGGCTCTTGCACCTGAATTGCAGCCCCCACCAAATCAAAGCCAAATTGCGCAGCCCTACAGTGTGCACGTTTCAGCCTACTGACCGGTGCATGAAGCTGCAGAGGCAAGGCGCTGGTCAGACTTGAACTTGTGAGAAAGCATCGGTTCCTTCTTGTTGTTGTCGGGTGTCTCGGTGGAACCGCGATCACAGCACGGCCATCTATGCCAGCACTGAAGCATCCGGAGCTACTAGCCCAAGCACCAGAAACCAAAATACATGTTGAGTGAGGTCCTAACTTTCTTGGATATGCATGTTTGTAAGGCAAGGGCCATGGTGAAGTTGGAGCAGTCATCATGATCAGCGTGCCAAACCCAAACCTTGGTGCACAGTCCTATAAGAACCCTGAAGTGAAAGCCACGGCTCCGCTTCCAGTCCGAGCAGCGTTGTCAATAATCAAGTTGTCTGAGTTGAATTCCAGGAGTGTGTTGGCTCCTGACCAAGCAGCCACACGTCAAACATTGGCCAGGTCTGAAGACAACGCTGTGTTGAGAGTCTGGCTCATAATCTCGCAGTTCAAGTAGCCAAACGTCCCAACACGAGCAAAAATGTCAGATGCCTTGGATTGGACGAACCATTACAGCAAAAATTCCTTGCCTGATTAACGGACATGGGCTTGGGCTTATCGCTTTTTATGCTCTCTCTCCTATCGTTGTTCAGCATGTTCGCCTTTCTTCAAGGAATACCTACTTAACACATCTTAAGGAGCTGCGTTGCAAATGAAGAGCGCACCGGTTCGCTTCATCATGGCTATAGTTTTTGTGCCGCCCCTATCATTTTACCGGGCTTTTCAGTGTGGGCACCGCACAACTCCGGACCCTCTGAGCCCGGGACAACACCTGTACTGGCGTCGGCATATCTGGAATGTGAGCGGTCGCGATTTCCCCACTGCAGCAGGGGCTGCCTTCAGCAGTCTCATCATTCTTGTGACTGTCATGGTTGTTTTGCCGTTTATATGCCCCCGTTACTCTATTGCAGTCGCTTTTTCTACCGCCAAATACCAGACTCCACTTTCTCGAAGGCCCTACAATCTCAACAAGCGTGCCCAATCCTGTCAGAAACTCCCACATCTGTTAGGCTTGCCAGTGGTTAGCAGGGATTGAGGAATAGATCTCGACATTCTTTGGTTCATATGTAATCTC